AAATTAGTTTTCATACAATTGAATCTACCAAGCTCTTTTTTTAAAAAATGACTTTTGGTTTTGTGAACATGTACCTTTCCAACTCGAAGATTTACCCAAAAAATTATCTTATATTTAATTCTAGAACATTTGCAGGTTGTTTTTCTCTGTTTAACTTTTAAACTAATCATTTCTTACACTCTTTGCAAGAAATAAAACACCATATTTTTCCAACCTCTATGTAATCAGGTGTTCCTTCAAGTGTGTCCAGAAACTCCTCTTTTGGGATTTCTTGTTCTCTTGCTCTGGTGTAGTCCTGCCTCCCCAGGCCTCTTGTTACTTCCTCCGCCGCTTTACTAGGTTGACAGCACTGTTGATGGATCCCTTGTCTTTTTGTTTGTTGGTTGGCTGATTGGATTTCTCCTTCATTTTGCTATTGCATTTCCTTTTTGTTCCCCCCGTCCCTCTGGCAGAACTTGGACACTTGCAAGCTTTGTGATTTGAAGCTAGTTATGTGACCTCTCTGACCCTCAGCTTCCACGTCTGGGAGGACAACACCTCCCCTACAGGGAGAACTGAGATGAAGGAATGGCGAGTGCTTCGCACAGCGGCTGCCATGTTGCAGGAGATCAAACGTGGTGGCCAGTCCAGAGCTAGACACTGAAGGGGACTGACACAGCACTCGGCACCCATCCTCTCTTTCTTCTCTCCTCCCGCAATGCATGCCCAGGACTTTGACTCTTTCCATCTCTCACCCTCAAAGAAGGGTTATATAGACATTCACACCAAAGCATTCAGGGTGTCTCCAGGAATCAGAATAGTATGTGAATTTTTTAAAAAGTGTTTATCATGGAAAATCTCAAACACGTAGAAAAGGAGAAAGAGTAATGTCATAAACCTCCGTGGACCCAGCTACAGCATGTATCAGTTCATAGGCAAATTCATTTCATCTGTACCTTCATGTACTCCCCAGGCCCCACTCCCCGTACATATAGGATCATTTTGAACCAAATCTCAAGTGATTTCATTTATAAATGTTTCAGTAGGTATCTCCAAAAGATAAGAATTAAACACACATGCAAATGAAATTCCATAATTGCACCTAAAAAGTTAACAATAATTTCTTAGTGCCATCCACTCTTTACGTTTCTTGAGTGCATTCTTATTTTTCTTGAAATAGTTGGCTTGTCCCAACCAAACTGCAACCAAAATCCATGTATTCCCAAGAATTTGCAGCTTGATGGGAACAGACCAGCTATTTAAACTTGGACTCCATCTATCCAAGGCATAGCACTTGGTTGCTATGTCTTATCTGGGTTTTTCAGTCTAAAACCTCCTTCTCTGTCTTTTTTGTTTTCTTCCCCTTGCAGTTTGCTTGTTGTTGTTTCTCCCTGGCAAGTATATTGTCCTGGTGTCTAGCTGGCAGCATTGTGGAGTTTGCTGATTGCAACCCCGGGGTGTCACTGAACTCGGAGACCGGTTCTTTGGTGCCTTTGTTCCAGCAGAGACATCCAGTGCTCAGGGAGGAGAGGGCAGTTGGCCTGAGGAAAGGGCAGTACTGTTGCCTTTTCCATCCCTTGTTACATCAGCGCCCTGGCCAGGCTTGCCGCTAAAGTGGTCTGGCCCTCGGCAGTGTGTGAGACTCCTGAGTGGTTGGTGAGCTGGTGGAATAGGGGGAAGAAAGTTTTAGATCAACTTGAGGAAGAAGCTTCTTGTAGCTGCTGAGTGGAATTTGAATAAGGACAATTAATAGTATCAGGTGTCAAAATGACTTCCCAGTTTATGTAAGTCACCTTATTTAACCCCATGTGAGTCCATGGTCTAGGTGTTATGAGACTATTTTACAGATGAAAAGACAAACTTGGAGAAGGAAAACAACATGGCCAAGATCACAGACTAAATGGTGGAGCCAGATATTTCCTGCCTTCTGAAAGCATCCAGCAGAGCCTAAACTGCCAGTTGACAGGGGTGTCCAGGAAGAAATTCAGACACC